TCAGTTTTAAGTGTGGACATAAGTAAGGATTCCTGAATTATCCCTTCATCTTGGGGATTATCTTAGTCAGTGTTCTACTGCTGTGACGAGACACCATGACCATAGCAACTCTTTTAAAGGAAAGCATTTAATTGGGGTTAGCTTACAGTTTCAGAGGTTTAGTCCTTTATCATCACAGAGTGGAAGCATGGTGGGAAGCAAGTAGATCTGGTGCTGGAGAAGGAGCTGAGAGTTCTATATCCAGATCTGAAGGCAGCAGGAAGATTCATTGGGCCTGGCTTGAGCTTTTGAAACTCTAAAGCCTACCCTCAGTGACACACTTCTTCCAACAAGTCCACACCCTCAATCCCTTTCAAGTAGTGCCACTCCCTGATGACCAAGTATTCAAATCTATGACCCTATGGGGACCATTCTCATTCAAACCCTCACAGGAATGCTGTGCCCAACCTTATCAGATGCATGAAAGTAACTGACCTCTACTATTGGATGTTAAAATACATCCAAGCTTGGTGTGAACCAAAGGGTGACCATTGGTGCTTGACAAAGTTCTAGCATTTTAGCATTGCAGACCACAATTATTATTATTATTTTTTTTTTGAGACCGAGTTTCTCCATGTAGTTTTGGTTCCTGTCCTGGGTCTCTCTCTGTAGACCAGGATGGCCTTGAACTCACAGAGATCCACCTGGCTCTGCCTCCTGAGTGCTGGGATTAAAGGCATGCACCACCGACGCCCAGCTGCAGACCACAATTCTTAAGCACTTTTTTATTTTTATTTTTAATGATTCTGACTATTAATGCCTTCCCTTTGGGAAATTTTGTATGGGCTTTGGTAAAGGATGAAAATGTGTACAATGGTAGCCTCTCTAAACAAAATAATTCTTTGGAAAAAATCCTTGCCACCTTGGAACCAAGAATTCCATTGTGCCCTCCTAATTACACCAAGAATAGGAAAGTTAGAGATTTGCTAGACACACCTGACCCCAAGGATGAAATGCCTGAGGCCATTAAGGGCAAGAGTTCAGTTAATAAACACAGAGAAATCAGAATGACACTGTATAATGGGAAAAGAGTAAGATATCAGGACCTTCCCTTTTCTGGACCATTATGAGGGACCAGTCCCATACAGCAAGACTAAGAAGCTATAGTACAGTGTCTGCTCCCCAGAAGAAGTCCTTTTCCCAAGGTCAGGCATTAGGATAAGGGTCTCCATTCCCTGGAGGGCTTGAGGAAAGTTCCTTCATGATAAAACAGTCCTTCTTATCTCTCATAAGAGGAACTTGAGGCCCTTTCATTAACAAATGACTGGTGCCTATTGTCAAGGTCAATGTTAGATTCCTCAACCCTTGATCTCAAGCCAGAGCCCAATTTACATGCCCTTTCCTTTCATGTAATCTTTTGTACAATAAAAGGTGTAGTCTTTTTTCAATTAAATGCTGCTGGCAGCCATGATTCATCCTCAGATCATGTCCCTGCCCCTTCCTCCCCACCACCCCCCACTCACATCCTCTTTGGGACTTGAAACACCCCCCACCCAAGGAGGTCTTAGGCACAAGCTCAATAGTTTGATTTGTTTCTGGGGATGCTTAGGGTATCACAAGGCTACACTTGCTGTCGGCTTCTCCAAAGACCAAGAGTATGTGCTGGGACAGACTGTGCTGCCGGCCATTTTGCACACAGAGAGATCAGGCTGTGGAAGGTCACTGTCCACTCCAGCTCTTCCTCTAGCATCATAGGACCTATGTGCTGTCATGGATCTTCACTGTGGTGTTAAACTAACTGTCTTCCAAGAACCACTGATATGAAGATATACTGGAAGCTTTAATGAGGCTTGACGTTCCAAAGAGGCCTGCTTGCTTGCTTCTTTTCCTAATTGAGCAACTTCACTTCAGTAATTTTAGTGTTTCGTGCACTGTGTGGTTAATGTACCTTATCCATGGAGTGGGTCCCTTAGGAAGAGTGTACACGGCATTTTCCTCTTCATTAAGAATTGTGAACCTGAGAAAAATTCTTTTGTTTGACTGTAAACCATGCGATTTGTAAAATCATACTTTGCATCTCTCTTAATTTCTGTAAGACACACCCCAAAGAGATGTAATAAAGACCAGAGTTAGGACTGTGCCTGTAGGTGTATCAAAAAGGGAGCACTTTTGAAAAGTAGACACAGTCACTTCAAAAGTGACCTTAGCTACTGTGTGAATCCGATGCACAGGCATAGGAAGGAGGCCAGATGCATTGTTTGCTGCATCTACAACGGAACTGTCCTGCAGGCTAAGCCTGCACAACTGCTCAGTGGAAGACTGGAGGTTTAATGTAGGAAGGGGTGAGGGGGAGACTCAAGATGTCTCAATGGGCAAAGGTAGTAGTTGCCACATAAGCCTCACAAATATAGCAAAAGGTTGATGAGAGGAAAGCATAAAATTCATTTGAGTTCTTAAAATTTTACTCTGTGTGTGTGTGTGTGTGTGTGTGTGTGTGTGTGTGTGTGTGTGTAAGCCAAAGGTCAACATCAATTGCCCTCCTCTATCACTCTCTGTAGTGGTATTTGCTCCACCCATGACCTTGGGCTCTAGGGCCCGAAGGAGGCGGTGCTTCTTGCCATTGTAGTGACTTCTGTTCCTGGTAAGTAATCTTCAAACACTTCAAAGACTTACAGAATATGGCATTTAAAATGTTTGACTTTTCTGGACAGTGAGACATGTCTGCTCCTGGCAGCACTGATTTACTTCAAAGAGGAAGATGGGCATCAAAGACACTCCCTATGGAGTTTATCTTCTTCTTGGCAAAACTGACCATTTGGGCAAGAAACTGTTCTTGCCTGGACTGCTTGACAATATGTTGTATAGACTGGACATGCAGGACCCATGGGAAAATAGCCACTAAACTTTGCCTAAACAGGGCAAGATGGTCCTTCAGGTTTCTGACTCACAGAGATACTGCCAGACATTCTGCAGGACACAGGGAGAAGTGACTGATGAACTTTGCCAATAGGCAAGACAAGCCTTCAAATTTCCTGCTTCACTAAAAAGTCTGCCAGAGCCTCTAGGCCTGTAGGCTGAAGATAGATACTGCAATGTTACCGAGGAACCTTGGGTGACTGTCCAGGTAGCCAGATGTCTCTGTCATTTCTAGAATTATGAGAGTTGCTTGCAATGTACTTCCTATTTACTCAGGTAATATTATATCCTTCTGGGGTCTTTGATGGAGTTGAAGTCTAGATAGTTATAATTATAGTCTGCCTTAGTTATGATAAAAGATAAATTAGATATGAAACTTTAGACTCACAAAACTAAGATAGATGATAGAATATTTTCTTTAATTTTGCTAAATAGAAAGACTAGATATTGTAACTATAATTCTTGCTTGATAACTGTTTTGTTATATTGTAATTTTACTATGTTAAAGTTAAAATCTTCCTTTTTGATTAGACAGAAAAGGGGAAGTGCTGTGGGATGTCTTTCTGTACACTGTGAATATGTGTTGCCCTGATTGGTTGATAAATAAAGCTGTCTGGCCAATGGTGAGGCTGAATAAGGTTAGGTGGTACATTCCAACTGGAGAGAGAGGAGAAGAAAGGAGAATGGGGCAGACGCTGCCAGCCTCCGCCAGGAGAAGCAAGATGTGAAAGAACAAGTAAGCCACGAAGCCAGGTGGCAATGCATAGATTAATAGAAGTGGGCTGAGTTCAGTTGTAAGAGCTAGCTAGTGAGAAGTCTGAGCCATTAGGTCATAGAGTTTGTAAGTAATATAAGCCTCTGTGTGTTTACTTGGGTGGAACACAGGAAAACTTCCAACTACAACTTTCCATATTATTTTATTTATTTTTTGTTTTTAAGACTACTCTATGTAGTCTCAGATCTTGCTGTGCAGACCAGGCTGGTTAGAACTCATAGAGATCTTCCTGCCTCCTCAGGACTGGGATTAAAGGAGTGTGCCACCGTACGTAGTCATTTATTTTTTTAATTCATATTTATTATTACTGTGCATGGGTATGGTGTGTGGCATGTCAGTGCATCTGTAACATCACAGACATATGGAGAGTAGAGGACACTTTTGTGGAGTTGGCTCTCCCCTTGAGAGGTTTGGGGATCAAACTCAGATCATCAGGTTTGAGAACAAGAACTTTACAAGAACTTTGATGTGCTGAGCTCTCTTGCTGGGCCTCCATTTTATTTTCTTGAGACACAGTCTCTCACTGAACCTGGAGCTCAATGATTAGATTAGACTGGTAGGGAGCCCCAGGGATGACTCTGTCTTACCTCCCTAGCACTAGGATTATAGGTGTGTAACACCTGATTTATTTTTTTGTGTGTGGGTTCTAGGCATCTTGAACTCAGATTCTTTTTTGTTTGTTTGCTTTTCAAGTCAAGATTTCTTGGTGTAGTCCTGGCTGTTCTGGAACTAACTCTGTAGACCAGACCAGCCTTGAACTCAAGAGATCTGCCTGCTTCTGCCTCCAGAGTGCTGGGATTAAACCCAAACTCAGATTCTTTTTATGTATTTTGTTGTTGTTGTTTTGTTTTGTTTTTTGAGACAGGGTTTCTCTGTGTAGCCACCCTGGCTACCCTGGAACTCTCTCTGTAGACCAGACTGGCCTCAAACTCACAGAGATCCACCTGCCTCTGCCTCCCAAGTGTTGGGACTGTTAATATGTCAGTTCTCTCCAAATTGATACACAGGTTTGATGTAATTCTATAAAAGATATAAATAAGATATAAAATAATAAGATATAAAATTCTTATCAAGTTTTTTTTAAGAGTCTGTTTTATTACTGGACAAACCACACCCTCCATTTAAACATGCCCACTTCTCCAGGTTTAAAGTGCTGAATCCATCTGGTGGGATTGATGGATGACCAGGATGCAGTATTGTCATTGTGTGAATCAATGAATCCTCAGTCGTGTCATTGTGTGAATCCTTACAGACTCAGCTTGGGGGCTTGGGGATTTAGCTCAGTGGTAAAGCGCTTGCCTAGCAAGCACAAGGCCCTGGGTTTGGGTCCTCAGCTGTGGGAAAACAAAACCAAAAACAGACTCAGCTTGGTTCTCCTCCAGTGTCTTCTCTCGGAGTTGCACCTGACTTTGTTACTGGTTTCCATCCGAATCCATTGAACAGGAGGGTTTTGCTTTTGTTTCTTGGCCAGGAAGCGCTTGACTCTGAAAGTCTTCTGAGAAGACATGGTGGGAAGCCGAGCCAGGTGTAACTGAACAATGGCAGAAGTAAGGAGAAGAGCCAAGTCTTTTCCTTTTTAGGTAGAAATTTCTTAAGTTAATTGAAAAATGTGAAATGTATGTGTTAAAAGCCAAAGGTTCATAGCAAATAGTGACATGACCTGGAAGAACTGACTTTGAAACATTAATTTACCAGATGTCAAGAATTAATCCAACTGGGTATGATCGTGCAGGACTGTGCTGGACTGTGATTCCAGCACTCGGGGGTCTGAGGCTAGCTCAGGCCACACAATGACTTCCAGACTAGCCTGTGCTATATGGTAAGACTTTGTCCATAAACCAAAACAAGTGAGAGCATAAACAGATCAAAACATATTACCATATTCTCATATATACGTGTTATGTTTTTATGTGTTATTTAATTTTTTTCAATTAAAAAATTTCTTTCTTTTCTTTCTTTCTTTCTTTCTTTCTTTCTTTCTTTCTTTCTTTCTTTCTTTCTTTCGTTTTTTGAGACAGGGTTTCTCTGTGTAGCTTTGTGTCTGGAACTCACTCTGTAGCCCAGGCTGGCCTTGAACTCACAGAGATCCGCCTGGCTCTGCCTCCCGAGTGCTGGGATTAAAGGCGTGCGCCACCACCGCCGGGCATTTTCTTTTCTTTTTTTATTTCGAGACAGGGTTTGCCTGAGTAGCCCTGGCTGTTCTAGAACTCACTGTGTAGATCAGACTAGCTTCCAACTCAGAAGTCCACCTGCCTCTGCCTCCCAAGTGCTGGGACTAAAGGCGTGTGTCATCACCAACCAGGTGTTATTTAAATTTTTAATTAAAAATAAGAGACTATCTGTTAGTATTCTGACCCGCCCCTTCGGGACCCACCCAGCGTCCTTCTGACGCCATCTTACCTTCCCTTTAAGAAAAAGCTCCTCCCCCTTTGCTCTCTCTCTCTCCCCCTTCCTCCCTTTTCTGCCATCAGGTGTGCACACCTCTGCTCCCCCTTCTCTCTTTCTCTCTCTCTCCCTCTTTCCATGTCTTTCTATCTTTCTATTATTATGATAAACCCACTTCATGTGGATGCAGTGCCTGGGGTGTGAGTGACTTCCCACACGCCGTTGCATCCACATGGCATCCACATGGCGTCTCTGTCTCTCACCCGCCATGAGGCACCTTGCTCCAGCCAGCCAGGGTATCATAACAATATCCATATCCCAGCTTACAACTTCGGAAGAAGACTCCAGCATTACCAGAGGCCAGGCTGGATCTAGAGACCACAGGTAAGACACTGTCCAACTCCATGAAGCCCACCCAACAACCCCAGACTTCAGCCCTGCCCCGAGCTCCATCTTCTGGTCTATAACTGTGGAAGAAGACTTCGGCTTTACTGAAGGCCAGGCCAGATCTACTGACCCCAGTGCTTGTAGAAAACTTCTGCTGAACTGGAGGCCACACTATACAAGAAATCCTAGACACCAAGCTGGTACCCAGAACCCCAGAGGCCACACAGGTACTTGGAACCAGAGAGGCAATGTTGGCACCCCAAACCCCAGAGGTTTTGCAGGCCCCCCAAACCCCACAAACACACCCTACTGGACCTGAAGACTTGCTAGTTACTAGAACCCTTGGCCACTTAGGCCAGAAGACCAGAGAGGAAATAGAAACCAAGGGGCAAAACACCCATCCAAAAAAGACAAATACAGGAATCAACAGAAGGGGAGTGGAGGGGGTCAGGACAGAGGTGCCGTGGTGGGAAGAGACTGGAGGGAGGGAGGGAGGGACGAAAATTGTGGCCCAGGTATAAACTTCAAAAAGAGAGAGAGCCAGGCAGCGGTGGCACATGCCTTTAATCCCAGCACTTGGGAGACAAAGCCAGTCTAAATTTGTTTGAGAGAGTTTGTCTATTTCTTTACACAGATTATCAATTTGGTTGTCAATGGTATGAGAGAAATCAGAGATATTAAAACAGCACACTACCAGTAAATTGTTGCCGACCAAGATTATGTTTAAGTAAGAAGTAACCTATAGCAGCTCTATTTTGAGGAATAGTTGTTCTCAGTTCTCCCATTTCTTCATTAATTCCTGCTAATATTTCTGCTGTAATATTAGTAGTCTTTGAATTAGGCTATTTTAGAAACCTCTCTTTGTAGTCCAACACTAAGTCCTGGGACAGGTAACAGAAAGGCTGTAGCAGCAGCAACTACAGTGAAATCTAACAGATGTAAGGAATCATTGCAATTTTCAAGAAGAGCTCTACTAATTCTATTAACAGATTGTAAAGACTTGCTGAGTAAAATAGGTATAACACGTCCCATCCCACATAAACCCTTATATCCTGCTGGGAGGGCAGAGTTTGTATTATTTTCACAGAAAAAAAAAGTCCATCCTAAGGGCAATTGTTTACCAACAGGAAGGGTGTGATTAGAAGTGGAATTACAATAAGAACGGACATTATTTGTGCGATCAAAACATAGTCAGTGGAGGAAAAAGACGTTATCAGTGGGGACATCAGCCACAGCCTTTAAAACGTTAGTGGGGGCATGTTCCACTTTGTCCCCCATTATCCTTGTTTAATTTTCATAAGAAACCCCTATTCCACATAAATTTCTTTTTAAGAGCCCGGGAATAGAGGGATCTCCTCTGACACAGGAGTTTTCTCATTGGCTTTTTAGTTCTAAATGGACCCAGAGATTATATTCTGTGGTGATATATTGTGTGGCCCCAGGTGTCAGTGCAGACCCCTGGCATCCGCATTGCCTTTGATGGTATCAGGAGCCACAGACATCAACATAGATCCTGGCTGCTGCAAGGCCAGTGAGCCAGACATGTTCCCTCGACACAGCCCAGGCTTGGATGTCACCATTAAGCGCGTCAGTTTTGAGGTGGTGGACACTAGAGCATTCCCAGGTATGGAGGGCTGATCAGGTAGGTGCTACTCAACAGGGCGAGTAGCCTGAACCTGAGGGAGAATCTTATCCAAAGTTAATGCAATCCCTTTACGGACTCAGAGACTGGAGTGGGGCACTCTAATAGCAATCCAGCCTGTACCCGAGGGATCATGGGAGGTGGTCGCTCATAGACTATTTCACATGGGGTGAACTTTTCTTCATAGGGGCTACATCGGACCCTGAGAAGGGCTTAAGGCAAGAGGTCAACCCAGTTACCACCAGTTTCAAGAGAATATTTAGTTAAAATCTCTTTTAAATTTCTATTCACCCTCTCTATCTTTCCTCAGCCCTGAGAATGATACATACAATGAAAGTTTCCAATTTATATTAAGAGCCTTAGAGAGCAATTGAGATACCTTGACCATGAAGGCCAGGCTGTTGTCAGACCCCAGAGATATGGGGAAGTCAAATCTGGGAATAATTTCCATTATTAATTTCTTAGCTACCACTTGGATCGTTTCCGTTTAGGATACAAGTCCTCCACCCAGACTGCGACGGTATCGGTATCGAAAAAGACCAGCAGATATCTGTAGCCATACAGTGCTGGCTTGACTTCAGTGAAGTCTATTTCCCAAAATTCATCGGGTACTGTACCTTGACTCTGTTGGCCTGGGGGAAGCATGTCCTTCTTTGCATTTACCTGGGCACAGGTCAGGCAGCGGTCTGAAATGCTCTGAACTTGTCTCGGTGTCCAGGTACCCAGACATGAGGGGAGATGAGTCCTGAGATCTTCTTAGGTGACAAGCACGTGGCGTGATACAAGGCAGTTAGCCTCTTAGTTATCCGTGGGTACTCAGATATAGAGTGGACATATGAGCTGACGAGGTTGCGTATAACATATATAAAGTAATTTCTATTTTATATCTCATACAGCGTATGTGAATATTTAGCGTTTACTGTATGCATGCATTTTGAAAGGTCATAAATTTTCCCTTGTCATTTGGCATGCTGGTTTGAAAGAAGCAGCATATATATCGTGGCGTTAGCATTCAGGCATTTACACTGGCCTGCCCTTGGGGACCTAGTAGGACATGTCATCATTGTCAGCCCAATGTGACACTGACTGTCGTCACTGAGAGAGCGCTCTCCGCATGCGCATGTGCTATATCCTGTTATAAAAAGGAAGCTCTTCTCTCCCTTCTCTCTCTTCCTGTTGGTGGGTGCTCAGAGGCTGCCTCTGTATGTCCTCCCCACTCCTCCTCCCCACCCCCTCCCTGCCCATAAACTTCTCACATGAGTTCTGTTGCATGGTACGACTTTGTGGCGCCCCTTGGCTTCAACCCACCCGGGTGTCTTATGCTGATCGACAACAACGTCTCTGTGTACCAGACAGCCTGCGATGGGCTCATTTCCAAACCGATCGCTGGGCACTTCACCCAACACCGGCAAGGACTGGTAAGTACCCCCCCTTCTCCTGGTTGGTGTAAATGCTTCCCTGGGTCCCTGGGAGTGACTGTTAAGCGTCTTGTAGCCCTCTGGTATTCTTGGAGGTGGAGAATCCCCACCACAGTCTTTAAGGCTATGGCTGATTCTCTTTGCTGACACCCACCTCTGGCCACGTCTCATGAGTGAGGCCCAATCTTTTGAGCGTGGCCTTTGCCCTCTGTCTTGCTTGGTTTTTAGCCCTGGATTGACAGGAACCCATTCTGGCACCCACGTTCACTCACATCAGCCTCCTGCTACTCATTCCTCCCTTGTGGGACCTGCACTCCATCTCTCTCTCCCTAGCTAGCTTAACCTAGCCAGCCTCGCTAGCCTAACCCAGCCACGGTTCTCCCTTTGCCCGAAAGGTTGCCGCGGCAGCCGACCGGGCAGGCCCAGATGTGTACCTATCCCCTTTTCATTAAGTGAATTCTCTCAAATAGAAAAAGAAAACAACAGCAACTACAATACTGGGCTCTTCTATGTCTAACTCCACTCTTTTCGTTAAAGAATTCCAATATATCACCCAGTCCTATAGTCTTAACCTTTAATGACATATGTATGTGATTCTAATTAACAACCTACTTCCCGAAGAGCACGGGAACATGCTAGAGCACATGCCCAGGACACCCACCAAACAAGCAGAGGATGAGATTCCCCCCACCGGGATCCCCAACACCCAAAGTGGCATTTTAGCTGGAGATCGGTTTACAACCTGCCTCCTGTCCAGGATGGGCACGCTGCATATGCACCTGATTGGCAAATCCATAAAACTGACTTTTGGGTCACCCACACTCACTTCTCCTCACAACCTGTATAAAGGCTTACAAACTCTGCCCCCTTCCCGGGGTCTCTCTCTCCAGCAGGTGCCACCCTTACTTCCCAATCATGCCACCCCTCAACATCCCAAATCTACCCTGACCAACGGACACCCCCCCCCCCCCCCCCCCGCTCATTCTTGCATTGAAGCCCTAGAGGAAATACTGCCCTATCCCCCGCACATACAGGAGGGCACACTGGCCATTCACACTGGTACACTACACAGATGGCAGCTCCTTTATACACAAGGGGGCCCGAAAAGTGGGCTATGCCATAGTGTTAGATACTGAGGTGGTTGAGGCACAGGTACTCCCTGCCCACACAAAACTAATAACAGGAGGAGCTAACAGCTCTCACCCGTGCCTTCCAGTTGGCACAAGGACCATCTCTAAAGATCTAATATGCCTTCCCTTCCACATCCTTCTGTCCCACGCTGCCATCTAGAAAGAGCAAAGATTACTTACAACAAAAGGAGGATCAATAACCAAATCATTGCCATGCTAAAAACCTTCTGTATCCCCATAGCTGTAGGAAGTGTGGGTCCCACCAGGCCAACAATTCTATGGTCTCTAAGGGAAATAACCGAGCTGAGGAGGCAGCTAGAGCTGCAGCCCCTAGAGGCCTAGCAGGACCACTGAGTAGCGCACTCTCCCTACGGGAGTGATGCGAGTGTCCAATCCCCTTATAAAAAACAACCCTGTTCCCTCCCCTTCTCTTCCTCTGCTCTCGCTCACAGGGTGCTCTGCATCCCCTGCCCCGTAAACCACCCAAATGAGCTCTGTTTGCACCCGCCAAGGTGACTTCCGTGGTTAAATCATTACACTTGTTACTACGGGATGTGGGATTCTGAGTTTCATAATTATTCTTTAAGTATATTGCCAGTGAGTTAGATTTCTTTACTTATGTTTTGAGACAGTCCATGGTAGCCTAGAACTTGCTATGTAGTTCTGGCAATCCTTAAATTTACAGCAATCCTTTCCCAAGCTCCTGAGTTGTTAGAATGACAGAGTCATGATCCACAATTTTTGACTGAGTTACTTTAAATACATGAAAAATGGAGGGAGGGAGGTAGAACCCGAAAGACGGCCCAGCAGGTCACAGTACTGGCTGCTCTGGCAGAGAAAACCCGACTTGGGGTCCCAGTACCCCCTGCCTGTAACTCCAGTTCTAGAGGAGCAGATGCCCTCTGACCTCTTTAGGTGTGTAACCTACACTTACACACACACACACACACACACACACACATACACGCACATGCACGCACACGAACACGTACACATACATACACATACATCAAAATAAAATAATCTTTTAAAAAATGCAGAAATATCTGTAGTGCAGCTGTAATATATATTTATTACATATATAAAAATATATAAATGCGGATTGGGGATTTAGCTCAGTGGTAGAGCGCTTGCCTAACAAGCGCAAGGCCCTGGTTTCGGTCCTCAGCTCCAAAATAAATAAACAAATAAATAAATATATATAAATGCAATATATTACATATAAAATATAATAAATACAATATAAAATATAAATATAATAAACACATAATATATAATACACATCTAACAAATATAATAAATATATAATATGTAATGAAATATATGCATAATATATTAAACATGTAAATATATAAATATACCATATAATAAATATATGAAAACAAATATATAACATGTAATGTGTATTATATATTTATATTATATAAATTATATTTAAATACACACACACATATATATTTGAGACAAGGTCTCTGTATAGCTGGGATTATGTACTGCCATGCCCAGCTTATTCCTAGATAAATTTTATCCAAAATACAGGTAGTAGTTCTACCTGTATAGAAGTAAATGTACAGAAAAGCAACAAATGGTCAGGTGGTAGCACACCTTTAATCCCAGCCCTGGGAGGCAGAGGCAGGCAAATTTCTGTGAGTTCGAGGCCAGTCTGGTCCACAGAGTGAGTTCTAGGATAGCCAGACCTGTTACACAGAGAAACCCTGTCTTGGGAAAGACAACATATGAAGCTAATGTATGACTTTCCATCACAAAATCTATGTGGTGCTATTTTTTTTGTTTAGGATAAGGTCTCATGTAACCCACGCTGGCCTTGTTTAGATCCCTCAATTTTTGCTGTCACCCCAGGAGTGCTGGGATTCTAAGCAAGCATCACCAGGTTCCGCTGCAGACAGAATTTATTTATTTATTTATTTATTTATTCTGAGACAGGGCCTCACTGTGTAGCTCTGGCTATCCTGGAACTCACTCTGTAAACCAGCCTGTCCTTGAACTCACAGAGATCCACCTGCCTCTGCCTCCAGAGTGCTAGGATCAAAGGTGTGTGCTACCAGGATCAGCTGCAGACAGGGTTTTAAAAAGAAAGGTAATGGAATTACTGAGGGTGTAGTCCTCAGTAGCTTCAAGCGTCAAGCCTTTAACTTCAAGCCCTTGTGCATGCTTGGACACAGCATCTGTGAAAGACCCCTTCCTAGACATCCCCCCCTCCCCCAGCAGAGCAAGCTCAGGCTGCTGTTGTTTCTACTGTTTGCTCAGGTTCGAAGGGAGTTAGATCCAAGTTATGATGCTTGTCTTGTCCCCGCCCCCCCCCCCCCCCCCCCCCCACCGACAGCAGTGGCTTGTGCCTGGGGGACTGCAGTGATGTTCTGAGACAATCAGATTCTCTGGGAGAGTTTGGAATCTTTCATGAGACAACAGAGTAGTGGACAAATTCGGGTAGCAGAGGGAGCCCAATACACAGGTGACCGGAGAGGGTAGAAGTCTCCTGTCAGCCCTCGTTGTCATATAACAGAAGCCGGGGGAGCACGAGGAAAGGAGGGCAGGAGGTAGCTGGTTAGCAGGGGTAGGAGGTAGGGAAACCCACGTGCACTATGCTGAGGATGCTTCACAGTGCCCGCTGCTGCCCACTGGATATTCCGAGTGTTTATGCCCAGGACTCATTTGATCCTTAAGGTAAGCAAGGCACTTCACTGTTCTTCTTTTCTACAGACAAGGAACCGAGAGAGGAAGCAGCACTCATCATCTTGGCAGAGTAGTTTCAGCGTCTACCCTCTGTTCTGCCCTGCTGTGGTCACCCTGCCACGGCCAGGTCAGGCCCTCTGCACAGCCCTTCCCATGTCCCCACAAATTCTATTCATCCTGCTTGTCCTGGATTTTTGTTAACATACTTGAGAGCCTTAGCGTCTAGTCCACGAGGACAGAGAAGATAGAATGGCCACCAGGATGGAAAGGACCACAGTAAAGAGTTGGGAATAGAAGAGTAAGCAGGAAGCCTCAGGGGCCATACTTTGGGAAGGTATTTGAACTTTGCCCCCCCAGGAGCATCTGGGGTGGATGTGTGCTATGAGCAAGGGCAAGGGGACCCCTGGGGAGGGCATGGGGAATGACTATGGGATCATTTAAAGTCATCCCCTGCCTTTGTAAGGAGCCAGATGGAAGGCAGAGGCGTGTGGTTGAGGCAGTCTTCTGGGTGAGGGGTGATGACAGCCTGTGCTGGGCAGGTTAGCACAGGGATATGGAGGTGTGGACAAGCTGGAGAGAGAGTGAAGTGGAAGGATTCTGAAAGCTGTGTGTGATGCACTGTACGTGGGGGTCAAGGGGAGGAAAAGAAGGGCTGGAGCAATTCTCCTGGGGAACTAACTGGCTTTCTGGGCTTCTGACCTGAGCTTACAGGACCCACGCCTGGCTCCCTGCCGCTGCCTAGGGATTCTTAATACATTGAAACAAGGAACACCATAAAACAAACATACAAATTATGTGTTCCACCCTGTAACCCAGATCCGGACATTCAGTGGGGAAGAGAAATAGAGGAAGTGTCTTTTCAAGGTGGAATTTGTGTATCTAGGAGGAAGTAGGGGCCATAAAATGGGCCTTCATGGTCACATGAAGGAGTAGTTACTAGGTAAGCAAAGTAAATCCTTTTTTTCTTTTTTAAAAAACACAAAGTAGCTCAGAATATTAACATGATAATGAGCTATGGAATAATAAGGATTATTAGATTTTGGTTTCCATTTCTGCCACAGAATTTCAAATGCCCTTGGGGTTTCCCCGATTAGTAGGAAGGAATGTCTTAGTTATGTAAATGAAGCGACCTCTGTCTTTGGGGAGGGACATCGAGGTTCAGGCAGGTTAGGAGAA